CAGTTTATAATGAATGGGATTTGACACAACACTTATTGAAAAGGTGTGCTACTTTGTTCAACAGTCGTTTTTTTTGTTTTTGTCATCCTTAACTTTGAAAAGTTGGTGAAGATGGAAGTTAATGAATTTGTTCCCTACAGTAACCTTCATATTGGCAGTTCAAAGTATAAAGTTGGGATGTTGGTGATGGCTGGTTAAATTCTTAGATCAAAAGGAACACTGGAAGATCGTATATCATGTTGTGTAAAAAAGTTGTGCCACCATATCGGTCAAAAAAGGTCAGCAAACCTTCGTAACAAGTAGATATGAGTTAATGAATTCATTTCAAATACTAAGGTAATAAAATGTTATACAATTATCAGAGATGAGTGATAAAAGTATATCAGCTGGAATTCGTTTCAAAAAGTCGCAAGTGTCGTTTTATTAAAATAGAAACATTGCCCCTCACGCATCATTAGAATTTTCAAGCTTTCAAAATGAAAACCATTTTTTTTTCCTCATTAAAGACTACTCACTTCTTCAATGTATCGCTCTTGGCATTGCAAGTACCATCGAGGTACAGTTACTCTGCATCATTTCTTTGTGTAAACTTATCTTCATTTCAGAATCTGCCAAACATCACATATCACGTAATATATATCACTTCCAAAGGAAGCCGTAAGGTCTTTCGATGTTGTATTTAATGGACAGTTCACTTTTTTAAGCCATCAAGTGATGATCGTCATTTCCTCCAATTGAGCGGTTTTCGATTTTTCCCACTCATCGTTTCAGTTCCACAGATTGCCGTTTTGATGGATGAGTGGATCTAACCTGTTTATTGGCGATATTATTAAAGACTTCATTAGTCGGTAGCTTCCCGAAATCGCTAAGATCGCATTGCAAACTAACTTTTTGACTTAATAGACTAGCTGTTCACTTCATTTTCATTATCGACATCTACTACCTATAAGTGAGTGATCGTATGCAATGCACACTAGCAATTTTCATTATAGCCAACTTTGCGGCATTTATTTTCAGACTTATTTATTTTGAGATAAATGAAGTGAATGCTGAAGATGAGTAAAAAAGGATGAAAAAAGAGAGAAGCAACTTTATTGTACTTTTCTCCTCTAATCTCCTTTAATACGACCTTTCTTTAATTTGAAAAAATAGCGCTCCTCTCACTTCTGCACTCCAACCTACCCCTGCGTATAAGTGCTTTGGAGAGTTGCTTCAGTTGACCTCCGGTCATGTGGAGCAACAACCATCTTCACTAGATGACTGTTTGTCAGGTCGCAAATATGTATTGTTGTCCGGAAGAAGATGCAAGTGGACACAGAACTGTGTGAGCTTCTATGAATACTCTTACGGCATGCTAACCCAGACCATGAAGGTCAGTATCATTTCAAGTAACCCTTCCTATGCCACACGTATACACGCAGACGATGGGATCATACAGACATGGGAACAATGGGGTTTTGCAAATAAAAAGTGGGCGAATATCCAGAGAATGGCGGCGGGTCATTCAGCAAATGTCCCGCCAAAAGAGGCTGGGCTCCGACTCACCCTGCCATAGTTTAGGCGGGATCGTTCACGGAGTCCTCCAAACTTTCCTCTCTCCCTCTTCCATTCCTCCGTTTACACCTGCATCCCCACCTATCTTCCGCATTTCTTCCACTCTCCTTGGCTATGTCCACCTTATGTATTGGCGGTGGAGGGGGGAGGGAACGTTTGTTGTTGTCCCCTCCCTCATTCAATATCCTCACCGACATTTTGTCCCTCATGTTTTGTGGCCGTTGGTTCATCACTCCAGTCAATTCTCTCGTTTCTGAATGAAAAACTGATGTCACTTCACGCTACCTCCCTTTTTCGGGAATGGAAATTTCGCCTTGAAAAAAATAAATACCTTCATGGCTATCCATCTGGCTAATGCTACCTTTTCCCCTTACATTCCAAGTATGCTACTCGCAATTTACACGGTTCTCCGATGATAATCAGCTTACACCGCTGAAATTCATATTTAACTTCCATTAAGTTAATAAATTCCCATAAAGATGGAACTTTTTGGAAATGTTACTAATAACTGGTCCAAGAAGTGATACGTTTTAGGCGACATCTTCGCTTTGACGTAATGAAACGAGGTAATTTTTGTTACCTGACTGCTTCAATCAAAATACAATTCGGCTGGTATCATTAATACAGCGCCTGCTGTCAATCAAATTTACAATCGTTCGGTTATGATATTTCAAAGTTTTCAAGGTTACCGAGTACTTTTCCAATTTAAATCATGATCTGTCCACAGATCAGTCATATCGAGTCCATCTCTGTAGCACCTGCAATATCGGCTTTCGTCCATCTTCATGAGATGTACTGTTATGATAACATCACTGCATGTAGTAGTAGTCCCATAGCTGCCATTTGTATGAAGTAGGACAAGTGAGATTGATTTTCACTGGTACCTTTGCAGTATGTAGTTACCATGTTGATCGATCTCCATTGTTCGAGTTCATTTTTGTTAACCAAATAGTTGGTCCAATTGTCCAATCTTGGACTGTTTATCAATCTGTCAGATGAAATAATCCATTGCTATTATTACATTGCTAAAACTAAACGTCTAACAAGTAGCTGATCGTCTATTCTCAAGAACTGTACAATTCTTCCTTGCAGTACTTTGCTCATCACTGCATAATTATCGCTTCAAGACTAGATGTGAATCTGAAGGTAAAGACAATTCCATTATCCTCAAAATTATCCACTTGCCGTAGGTTAAAGATAAGTACTGACAAAGTACTCCAGCACACAGCTACGAAAGTATCCCTTAGGTCAGCAGTACCACATGTTGTTAATCAACAAAGAGCGAGCTACCAATTACTGACAGCGCCTGACTGGATTTAATGGCTGAAATTCTGAAATTCATTCCAGAGGTCACTGCATGTAACACACCGTTGCCATATTCAGGAAACCTGATTCACTTATTGTTAGTTTAGTGGAATGAGCCAAGAGCAGTTGTACAATGGTAAAGTATGGGCATGAATGGGTACGAAATTCATGACAGATGACAGATGAATCTTATACATTTGTTCCAGAAATTGTTTTCCGTGATTTATGCTTGTTTGTGAGTCTGAAAGAAGTTCTCGTTTATTTGGTTGCGTGTTGAGGGGATACAACGACGAATTTATGAAATTTAGATATAAACAATCAACCATTTTCGTTGTTTATCAAATTTTCAACATCCCATGTGTTTGTTATGTTTCCTTATTTGAAGAAAATGAGCACTTTTTTTTTTCATTCGACAGTTAAAGCTGAAAATATTTTCTTTTGTGTTCAATTTTCTGTAAAGTTCCCCCAAACTTGTGGCATGATTTCCGTCCACCAAAAACTTTCAAATCAATGAAGGACATCAAATGTCTGGCAATCCTGTGAAGTTCTATGCAGGAATACTAGTTCGGAAAAGTAGTAGCATAAAAAAAAATCTCAGGTTAGAAGCCGAAAGTCGTCATCCTGCTCGATTATACTGCTATCCGGAAACGCTACACGATTTCATCCGCACAGTCACTTCACCACTACGGGTATTGGTTGCATAGGTATTGCATAGTGGACCAGTCAGAGTGTCGTATGGTGGGTTGTTGCTTTGAATATCGTAGATGCTTGAGGTGTGGCTAGTTCGATTGTTCTGGTTCCTTTGATTGGAGTTGTTTGTTTTTTTCCTGCCGAGATTTCTCACAGAAGTTTTCAGTTCGTTATATGAATGAGTAAAAGGCTGAGATAAAAGGATAGGGCTTCAGTTGAAGTGGTAACCATTTGAATTATAGCTGTAAAGAGTCGGGCAGAAGAAGTTCATGGAACATCTTACAGTTGTTGATCATTGCCATCAGTTTTGTGGAAGTGGTTGGAAATTTCCGAACACGATGACTGAAAAGTTGCAAGATTTGATACGGTTGAGATTGTATATGTTGTGATGAATTGATAAACCTCGCGAAATATACATCATATATGTTACAATAGAAATTGAAAACTCTTGATAATTAGAAGAAACCAGATAATAATTTATATAAATAGTAAAGGGTAATCGTTTGCATGATTGGATGGCCACAAGTCAGAGATATTATTATTGTGTAGATCTGGGTTTTCTTATTCGTATCTTCTTAGATGCGTTCTTACTGTTAGTTCTTTCTTTGTTTTCAGATGGATGATACTGGTAAACATTGGAACTCAGCAGACTGTAAATAATTGATTTAGGACTTCAGTATGTCCAGTGCTTTCCGGGTTCCTTTTTGTGTTTTTTTTTCCTTTTCAGTTTTGAAGCCATAAACTTTATTGCATCAGAATTGTATTATGTATCTGCGTTTCATTATCCGTATGCAGTTAATTTGGGAAAAATCAAAAAGTGTCATCTGACCCATTTTTATATGTCGGCATGATATTTCATATACATATTTCGTTTAAGTAACGTGCTTGTTTATTTACTTTTTTCTTGGTAATCATTCTTACTCCGGGCACCATTTAAAAAAATCCATGTATAACTTTTGTAGGCAATTTTCAATGTGTTTGGTATTGGGTACTACCGGAGTATCTGTCGCTGTCTACGTTACAAGTCATTGTTTAAACTGCATAATACAGCGAACAGTGCTGAATGTTTAATTGACACGTAAGTTGTGTCAGTTTGAAACACATGTGCTGAAACTTAACATATATATGATTTATACTTAAATTTATTATCGTGATGAGATGCTTAAGGTCTATTTTGAGGCTGATTTTTGTAAAATTTATTGGAGGAGAATGGATCAGTTCGTCAAGTGGAAATAAATTATAGTTTGAACGAACTTACATCTTTTCACTGCTGAATGTATTTCAGACGTGGGAGTGGATTCAGCCTGAAAACAGCATCCGTTGTTGGTTTGTTGTTCGGAAGTTTTCATTTGTCTTTGATGCGTTCTTCTGATGAACACCAAAAGTAATTGATCATTTCACTTGTGTTGCATTCAGATTTTGAAGTCCTGACACAGGAATATTCATTGCTCAATTTGGTTTCATTTTATAAGTGACTTTACTCTGAAAGCAATTAACTGACCAATCTTTACTTTTAGCTTTTAGCTCTTTTAGATGCTTTTAGCTCTGATATTATATGCAATGAAGGAAGCAAAGTGGAGAAAAACTACCAACATTCCTACCAACATTCTGAAGCTGTAGGATGGTTTTCAGAAATGCAAAGTGATCACAAGGAGAGCTACGTAGCACGAGTTTTGAAAAGAAGTTATTTTTTTGTGCTCTTGTTGCATGCCTATTGTATATTATGTATTATATTTAAGTAAGCTGCTTTTCGATAATGTTCACAGGAAATACCGTTTTCAAGTAGAATTTTTTGATTGACATATCGTAATCGCTTTTATGTAAAAATTAAATAACAGAATTTTTTCAGCACTGGAGCAATCACTGATGTCACTGATAAAGAGTGCTACGGCAAAAGTAAGATTTGCTTTGGACAATTGTAATAGTGGTTGTCAATTATCACATTGTACTGCAACAAACCGAACTGTAAGTCTGTAATGTTTAAATTACTAGTTTCCATCATTGTAAGAGCTGCTGTTTTTCATTAAAAGGATGGTGTTGTCTTTTTTTTTTTCAAAATATAAAGAATGTCATTTCTATTATGAAATAGTATTATTGCAGGAAGATGTTGCTGAGCAAAGAGAAGGGAGAAATATTACCTTGGACGATCTGGTTAAAAATGCTATTGCACGGAAAGAAATAAATAAGATCATCAGGGTGAGTCAGATATCAATTTTTGCGATTATTGGTTATGAAAGACCATTACTGAATCAAAGAGGAAAGGAGTGCATACATGTTATACATGTTTGGCTGTAACAGATTAGCAAGAATGAAAAGTATTTGCGAATTTAAACTGTAAGAATTAAGAGCGAAGGAAATTGTTAACTTATACATAAAGCAAAGGAACGCGTTAGTGTGAAAAAAAAACACTGACTTGAAACTTTTCTAAATCATAATATGGGCTGGATTTAACAGATTTCTCGTGAGTTATTCAAGTGCTTGGTAGATTTTTTCATTATAGTTTTTAATGGAAAGAGAAAGGTGGGTGGAACATTGGACACTGTCTAGCTAGCTACCCTACTTCAGTTTTGGTCCGAAAATACTGGTAAGGATGCAGGAATCTTGGAGCTGGAGCTCCTGGAGAGCTGCAAAGTACGAAGGACTAATAAAGTAGTAATATTAATAGTAATTTCCCTCCTAACTTTGTTGTTTTTCTATTTTTCTTCGGTTTTTTACAGTTACCTTTACTGCGTCGGTTTTTTTAAAAGAATAACCGAATCTTAGGTCCTAGATCAAAACCTCGGACAACTCTTAAAACGATTTATTTAGCCTTGGTTTGGTAATGCTCTCCGTTTATATATATATATATATATATATATATATATATAT